TTTTTCGAGAACTAAAATCAAATATGAGCTAAGCTGTTTCTAAAATCATTGATGAAGACTGAAAAAAAGAGTCAAGGAAAAATGCACTTAGCTTTGCCGTCTTCGTTCTGATCAAAGGTAAAAAGAGACCGAAATTCCAGCCAGTCAAAATGCGTGAAAAGTAAACCGAACCGTATTTAGGTTAACGAAGAAGGAGAACGAGTAGTTCTTTTCAAAATGGATTTAAATCTTTTTCTACTATCACAATTTGATGTGTTTCTTGGTTATCACCTGAGTAAAGTTGTTAACATAGCAAATCATTCAGTGAACATATGACCTCCACCACTGCACAAATTGGCTTTGGGAGATTTCGGTGTTAATTTTAACCAGTCCAGCAGCACGAATAATTTAATTTGAGAGTTCTTTTTCATTTTGTTATAAAATGTGTATTATAAATAGCCTTGTTAACTTTGAAGTGGTTAAATATCAAGAGACATTCAACAGAAGCACAACTTTCCTGATTTGTATGATATCTCTGAATAAAAATGTCCATCAACAGTATTTTGGCATTTGACATCATCTGGTCAATCTATTTTAATTTACAAAGGTGATTTTCAGTTACTTATTCAAAGAGCTTTGCAAAATACGTGCCCACGGATTTCAGTGACAGGTTCTTCTGGTGGGTTCAGAGAAGTCTTCAAAAGTCAGACAACCTACTGTTTAATGAAAATTGTATTTTTTGTTTCTATATGGAGTTAAACTTGCACCCTTTTAGTGGTTGCTAGGGTAAATGGGAGGGTTGTCGCCTCATAGTTTGTTGGCACTCTAATAAAGTGGATTCTTTCTACAAAAATTGTAAAAAAATTTATAATCACTTGAATGGACTTTAACCTTTGAAGCAGCACTCATAGTTTTAAAAGACTTTTCCTGCCATTTACTGAAGTCTTTACACGGATCTGACCTATTAAGCCAAGCAGGGCAACACAACATATTTATTATGCTTAACCATTTGCATTAAACCTGTTTTATCCGCTCAACTTATTGGGATGCTGAGAGTAAAATTTTCGTACTTTTTAAATGTTTTATCTCAGTAACCAACTTCATACATAGGCACTATGGAGGTCGACTGTTGCTCCATTTACTAGAACCGATATCATTTAATTAGCACGATTTTTTCAAGAAAATACTCCTCCATTTACGTGAAAACAACCCCCGTCAGCCCTCCAATCCATTTCTATTAGACCAGCCATGTTTCTAAACAAGCTGGTATATCCCGCTGAGGTTAATGCTTAGCGACTTGTGTTTCCCAATCGTGGGGCGCTTGTAAACAGCCCTTTTCAGCGGTTTCCTCACTCGACCCCTCTTCTAGCCCTGGGTGGGCCGCGACCTCAATTAATTGCCAATGTAGGTCTCGGCGCTATAATCACAAGACTAGGCGACAAATAAAACCGGATCCGGGAAGTTCGTTACTTTTAACCACCTCGACTAGTCAACCAGGTGTGGATTAACATGTGCCAGCAGAATTTCTAAATTTTGGGTTTTCACCTTTTCAATGCAAAATTAATTATTTTAATTGGCCCGTTAATGTAACATGACAACAAATTTCAATACCATCGTTACTGGTTTCAAAACTGAACTTATAGGTAACTTCATAATCACCATAGGCTAAGTCGACACAGTTAAAAGAATTAATTACAAGGCATATTTTTTTTTATCACTTATTACTCAATTGTAGGGACCCTTAATCTCTTCCGATATGATTTACAGCTTGATCTCATCACTTAGTCGCTTATTAAAGTCAAATTTAAAGTTCTACTAAATCTATTTATTTACTGTAGCTCTGAGGTAATAAGAGTAGTATCGTATTCACAAATTACAGATGACTAAAAATTTTATGGTCACGCAGATATTGCACGCATTACTTCAGTTGCAGAGTCGTGCCTACGGATAGTGCAGTGGTAATGCCTGCGCATTCGCCTATGAAATTTGGCTTAATAGCACCTGCCTGAAAGGCTAAGGTTTGTTAACAAATGTTTGTAAGATGCGCATGAAGCTCAATTAAAGCATGTGCCCAAAACTGCCTTGTATGCTGAGACACCATGATCGCTGATGCCTGTATGGTGGACAAATCATCTGCAATGGCTTAAGCGAATTTTCCAATGAAGGGAGCATAGCAATCGTAATTACTTATTTCAGCTAAATGAGTTCATTTCTGTCAGCAGTCATCGCTTTTGCAGTTTGGTGGAGCTTTGCAGCATTAATCACCGAGTGCATAGTTCATATGAGGGCAGTGAACTAGGCAATACGATTGTCGAAGTAAGGAACCAAGAGAATGAGGGCGCTTTCACCCTGTTACCTGCCACACTTTGATTGGCAAGATTAATAAACCTGTGCCGCACACCAGTAAAATAACCACGTGCTACTGTTAGGATTTGGCCAGCAAAGTAATCGGTGGCCATTATAATTGGTCAAAACAAGAAGACAAAATAGCACATTGGTTTGTACTTCTACCTAATTTGTGGAAGTTTCACTCTAAAACATGTAACTGGAGTATAAAAGGAGGTACCATACGAATAAAAAGGTGATTTTGTGACTGAAATACGCGAAGAGATTATCAGCATAATAAACACTATGGCCAAAAGAAACTGGGCTGGGCAAAAAAATGGCTGGACCAATCCTAGCTACCCAAACCTTCATGTTGATGAAAGAAATTAGGAGATTTGTTGTTCAGGTCATTAATCAAGCATTGTTGGTGGTAAGTGGGATTAAAGAAGCTGGGAGCAGAATACCATTTCCTGATAAAAGAGCATTACTTGATTACTTCATCTTTTTATGGATAAGAAAGGATAAGAAATCAGACACGTTTGCATTTGTGCAGCGCATTCATTACTACGGAATGACTATGTTCCTGGCCGAAAAAGAATGAAGATAAACAGACCTGACATTCTAAGCACGAGGCGTTTATATACCGATGCTACATGAGGGTAATCTGTGGAAGACTTGGGAACACTTCAGGAAACCAATAAAGGAAGTCCAAGAGAACAATAAATTTCCCACTTTTCCATGGGTTATTCGTTCGTACCATCGAAATGGCCGACGTTTAAAAGTAGTTAATTCATTTGCGAAGGGAAAGTAACAACACAGCATTATAAAAATACCCTATATTTGGTGACTGGGGAGTGTGAAGTAGCACAAACCTGTGGTACTTCAGTGTTGGGGTTTGACTAATAGTTCGTACATGTGGGACTAGCGATAAAACTGAAGTGGCAAATGTGGAACACTTGGTATCTAGCAATTTCTTCCAGGCTGCCAAAAAATAACAAATAGTAATTAGAAAATGAATAAATGGGATTAAGAGTGAGAAAATACGCGATATTTTGGATATTAAACTGGGGTAGGTGTTACTGAGTTAATTTCAGTAAACAGTCAAAATTCATCCTTTTGGGTCTTCTACTTCTCATGTCAAAGGACTTGACAATTGATTAGTCATTTGAAAATATGAAAAACCATGCATTTAACAAGACTAGAAGGTCCTCTTGATCATATACATTAGGAAGTAGAAAAATGAGTGATAAAACTTCGAATAAAAAGTACTATATTATGTCTGAACATTCTTTTCATACGGCAGTTTTGTGCTTTTAAGAGGACTTTATACTGGAGGTAGAAGATGTCTTGAGTGTCTGATATAAAATGGGCTTAGTGAGTACCTATTTTATAGATTCAAAAAAATAATTTAGGGGAACATTAAACCAGAAATACCTGAGAGGGAATATCTATTGCCAGCGGAGTTGCCGAGGGGATTTGATCAAAACCACAGCCGATTCATAAAAAAAGTCGAGAGAAGATTCAACTGTTCTTAAGCCATTAATATCAAGTGCATTAATTTTATTGTTTTAAACCCCATTAACCTGTTTGTAGCAGAAATTTTGCGCATACGACGGAGCATGTACGTAGCATGTGTTTGGTGGTGGACATCAAAGAGATGGCTTCATTTTAATGAAGAAATCAACCCTTCCAGAGATCATGATTCTTTGAGAGCCTACACCTTTTGTGCCAACATTAGTTGCTATAGCGTCGTCTTGTATGCCTTAGCGCCAAGTTAGGCACTTTCTGCCACCTCCACTTATATTTTTTGGCGGATGTCCGCGTGCATTGACAAACGCGGGTGTCCAAAAATGGCCATCCATTTTTTTTGTATCACCAACTGTATTACATCTTTTAATGCATAATTAACAAAGGCAGTGCTTCCTTATTCACTTTCTTTACCAACAAGTCAGAGTGATGGTCGTTTTACAACCACCCTGATTTAAAATTTTTGCAACGGTCCTTTTATAAAAGCAGAAAATTGGGTTTTTGACTGCAAAATGACATACATCAAATATAAAAGACAAAGTTTTTTCTAAGACATTTTCAAGAAATTTGGTAGGTGCTACTTGTTGTTTAGGGATAGCCACAAGAAGCTTTGAATTAAGTTTCACTATTTTTTTAGAAGCGAAAATTAGGGGCAAGGTTGATTCATCAAATTGCCCCAGACCATCTCATAATTGTAATTTCCAAAATGAATTCTTTCCAGGAACATCAAATCATTTTAAATTGTGAATATAGTACATTCAGTTGTCTTTTTGACTTCTCCGCAGTGCCCTCACGAATACTGCAACCTTTCAATCCACTGAATATAAGGCTGCTTTGTTCATAAAATATCTCAACACACCATTTATAAACTGACTCGGCTCACAACGAAAGCACATTTACTTAGATAATACAATAACTGTGAAAAATTGTTTTAAAGTGATTGAGAAAAGTTGCTCAAGCATCGTGCTATTTAAGACAAGGGCTCTAATAATAACTTGATCTGAAAGTATAAAGATAATGTAATTCTGCCTCTAAATCCATATCTAAAGGTGGTAAAAAGGAACATTACTTAGACCATTGGCACCACTTTGAGACACACAAAACATATTTGATTTTACCATGCTCTAAGTAGATAGAGGTTCCAATTTGTGTGATTTTATATGCAGCAAATGGAACTACAAACTGTCTACTACCCCGCAACTCCGACGGGCGCACCTCAAGGCGTGCACATGGTGAAAGCCGGCGGCCAATTCGTGCAGCCATCTGGTGGTGGTGGTACCACTCAGCCTGTCTACTATGCCTCAGGAGGTCAGGCACAGCACCACCCACAACAGCAAGTACCAACCATGGCAACAGCTACGCCTTCCACAACATACTATTCACCGCAGCCACAGCAGAACTTCTACATCGCACAGCCAACTCAATACACGTCCTCCGCTGTCCCAAACAGTCCCCAGGTCTACACAGTGGGTGCCTCACCTCAACCACAGTATCAGCAACAGCAATCTCAACCGCAGTATCAAAACGTGCCGCAGAACCAGCCACAATCTCAACAACTGTTCTACTCACCATCGCAGCAATCACCCTCACGTTTGGTCTACGCCAGCTCTGCCCAGGCTCAACCCTCAGCGACTCAGTATCAAGCACAGAGCAGCCAAGTACAATACCAGTCGCCTACCAGCCAGGCTCAGTACTACCCACCCCAACCAGCATCACCCACACGTATGGTTCAGTACGCACCTCAGGCTTCCTATCAGGTACAGCCATCGCAGGCTAAACCTGCCTACAGTAGCCCGCCGCAACAACAAATTCATGTAGCTTCGCTTCAAGTCTCACAGCCACAGGCTCAGCCAGTGATGCACCAACCTCAGCAGACTGTGTACCAGCCCGCACAGGCTCCCTCATTAGCCTCACAGCCGCAGATGATTAGACTAAGCCAATCGTCATCACAACATCAAATGCAGATGCAGCAGCAGCAGATACAACAGCACCAGTACGCGCAGAACGCGGGACAGCCTATCGACCGGACCGCTTATCCGATGGGGGCAGAAGCCAATCAGCAGCCCACGGGATACCATCCAATGGGGAGGGCTGCGCCGGTTACTGTGGCCACGCCCCCGCAGCAGCAGCCGCAACAGTACCAACCACCGCAGCAGAGGAGCCTCCTCCAGTCTGTGGCAGCACAGCAGATCAGGCCCGTACCTCAGTCGTCAACACAGAGACCACCTACGAGTCCTTCGGGCGCTACCCCAAAACTTCGTCAACTTGTACGTCCTTTCACAAACTAGCCTTTTTTGTATCATTTTTATGATCTGCAAGGCTGACCTTTATCCTATTTTAATCAACACGTTTGTTACCGGGGCTGCAGAGGTAAATGAACCACAGTAGGTCATTAGGGTTCTTGTATTTAACTTCCGACTAACCGAAACTGTAAGAAAATGTTATTATCTCAAGTCGGGGGATTACTTTATTGCTCCAATCATAAGCAGTCTGTTTACGGCGCACAATCGCATATAACTGGTTACCACAACCTGATAAGGAGCATGTGTCACATATATGCAACATGCTGACCCTCTGCTAGTTGAACGTACTCGGTCAATTCCGCTACTTCAGTTTGAATGGATGTGGTATCAGTGTACACAGGTATGAATTGGAAATAACTTTTCCCCACCTTCTGCTGATACGATTGCAGCACCATTGGTTAGATTGAGGAGCCTAAGAGGAATAAGAATACAGTGTTAAATTTTGTAGTGCAAACACATTTTGGCTTTCTAAGTGCGATGACATCAAAAGACAGTACAAAAGGAGTACCAAAAAGCTGCTTTGGTGATTTCGTATGAGTGTAAAGTGTGCGTTGAACTCGAGGAGGTTGTTAATTTAGCTTTCAAATTCACCTCCTCCTGACTTCCATTGCGGCGATGTCCTGCACCAGGACAACAAGACTGCCTCAGCAAGCATATGACAATCATTAAATTACAAAGAGCTCAAACAAAATTCGAGGGTAGTAGTTGGTTTAACGCACATCTTGTTCATCATGGCGCTTGTTTGTAATTAATAAAGTCCTATTTTTTGTCGTATTTTGACCAAGATATGACCATACGATCATGGTCAAAATCGTGGCCACATGAATATGAAATTGCGCGCCAAAGAAGTTGAAATTAAATTGAGTCGGCAATGGCGCGGGTACAGCAGATGATTGAACCAAGAATTTTTGCCAAATTACAAAGTGAGTTTTGTAAAATCGGGTAATTATAAGGACTCCTTGTTATGACTACGGAGTTCTGATTGTAGTAGATGATTTACTGGAAAAAAATGTTGTGGAACGTTGCTTCTATCAAAACTTAGGTAAACAAGATCGTTTAAATCGGTGTCAAGTACACTTCGCGGAGGTGAATTTCATGCATTTGAGAATAAACTGGTATTATTGTGAATGAGGGATAGCTTCCTGTCATAAAACACCAATTCTTTAGTCCTATTTTGCGTAGGAGACTCTTATTAATTACACGAAAATGATGCTTTGATATGACTTATGGAATGTCGTCTAAGTTGCCAAAGGCTTTAAATGCTTCCTATTACTGCGTTATTATCCACATAATTTGATTGAGCTCAGGATTGGCGATATAATCACCCGGACAGTCTTGATTTTCCGTGCAACATTACTGTAACCATTTTTTAGACAAGCTAATAGTGCTGGAAGAAAAACAACTCAACAAATTCGCTACAATTCATGGCAATAATTGAAATGAGCACAACACTATAAGAAGGTAGCAGTATTTGTTAGTCGAAGATAAAGTATCGAGAGGACGGCATTGCTTAAACTGTGCCAACTGTACTACATTTGCAAAAAACCTCCACTTTGTGCTGTTTCAGCAGAAGTGTAAAAGCATCACTCCCTCGGTTGTTTTGGCGTAATTATTTTTCCCAGCTGAGGAGAGGACTAAAATACACTTGGCATTTACACTTCTAGTCAAAACTGGCGGACAGATGAGCGGCACTTAGCGCAACCGCTTCCGCCACCATCTGATTAGCTTGCTTGCAATAACCTGACAAGGCATGAAACCGCATAGCCTAGGCAGGAACCCTCCCCACAAATTGCGATTATTTATGATGCATACTGATCGTGTGCCTCGGTGCAGAGACTGAATTAACGATTCTTAGGCATAGTGCGTGGTCGTGGTGGAGAATGCAAAGGTGTGCCACATTTTCTCTTCTTTGATTTTTGCGAAATGTGAAAACAAAGTGGACTTGAAAGGTTATGGATTATTTAAAACAAATTTTTTAGAATAAGATACCATGAAATAACAATTTAAAATATGTTTGTTTTGATGGTATTTTGGAAGGCATCATCAAATCACGATAAGGATGTCGACATGCATCAATATGGATTGCAAGAAAGCAGTCGCATAAGTGCAAAGAAATGGCATTTCTAGAAACTTGCAAAATTGCTTTCACCATCACCTTAAACACAGTGCGCGTTCTAGGCGCAACGGTGCTTGATGTGTGTGGCCATGACATTTCTATGATAATGTGTTTGATGAATTCCGGCCACGGGTCATGCAATTTAACACCAACTGTTCGTGCTGTCCTTTGGTAGGTAGCACAGATGGCTGCGTGTCTCTGCAGGGTCCAGCCATGAATTAAAAAGAATTTCAGTACTATTTTTAGGTGTAGAATCATAAAACTAGTTATGATCTTGAGCTATTATTTATGCCTTTGTGCAAAGCTTACGTAGGAATTCGAAGTCCTCTGCCACTTAACGCTGCTGGTTACGGCCAAATAGCCTTTGGCATAGTGGCCAAGTAGCTAAAAGCAACATTGTGAAAACCTAGTGCCTCTGATGATCAACTAGCACTTACCCTACCAACACAAAAACAACATAAACAGAACAATCGCGTCAAAACAGAAACAAAAATATGGCAAATTTCCCTTTCCACTTTGCCCTAAGCGGATGTTTATGCCACCTATTGTCCACCGCGAAAAAGAATGCCCCTAAAAGAACCGATGGTTGCCACTGACTACTACAAGTTGATGAATCGTTGATTTGGATATATGCGACGGACGGAGAATTCCTTGTGGATTTTATTGGAGGACGTTTTGATAGATTGCCCATGAAAATAAATAAAATTAGGTCACTTGAAAAAAGACTTCGCCAATTCCCACTGATACTTGTTTGCTTTACTACCTTATGGTAATAAATTCCCATTTCAGTGTACTGTATCCCTTAAGTGCTGTAAAAAGGTCACTGGGGATTCTGTGGTCAGTGGACCGCTGAACAAAAAACTCCACTTACATATTACGCCTTTTTTCTAATCGAAACAAAGATCATATGGTTTCGCTCTATTTGAGTTAAACACCTTTACTTAATTTTAGTGTATCCCACCAGGTTTCTAAATTGTTCATTGAATTAAATTTATGGTTTACTTTATAACTACTACCTTACTTCCTATCACCCCAACTCCTTCTCTGTCCCAATGCGATGATAGGCACAAATCCATATGCCTTATTTTTTGTGTCGACACATTCTGCATAAGTCCTCGCTTAATGTTGCTTTAATACAATTTCTATGAGAATTTTTCGAAAAGTTAACAGCTGGGAATGTAATGATTGAACATCCACCTTCCGAAAGCGTAAGAACTTATTATTCCAAGGCCTGGGCAAGATTCCCCATTCCGCTGGACCAATAAAATACCAAAGGTAGTGGCCTAAGATTATGTTTCACCGTGTGTAAAAGGTGAGGACACGATCATGACCTGGTCACTGCCCTCAGCCCCGTTGTCTTGCGTACGTGTCATTTAGGGCTGGGAGAAAGTATCACGAGTGTTAACAAGCAAGTATCCTACCTCGAGTGACAGAATGGGTTAGATCATTAGGAATGAATAGTTCAACTTTCGTTGGTCTCAGGTTCGGTTCCTTCGAAGAATGAGGCTTTGGGCACCTCCTCTTTAGAAATTATGCAGGAGGGACATCTAACTAGAAGTAAACTGATAAAGACGAAATGATAGGGGTGAGGCACATCCCTCTCAAACTATGCATTAGTTGGGAACAAGATTTGACATGGCTATAACTTAGGCAATGTTAGGCCAATTGAAAATGCATAACACCTAAATATGTAGGTTCGTTATACTGTAAAAAATCCGTGATTAGGTATCTGAAAGCATTACCTCCAAACTATAACGGCTTCTTTGCTCCCGGTTTGGCATAGGTAAGTTATTTTTAGGACTGTATAACCATTCAAGTGATAATAGGTCCCCTTAACATTAAATTTTCTTGCAGTTAGTGGCTGGTTATAAAAGTGGGCATTGCCTGTTCAAGCTACCGGAAAGATCAAAGAATCGGGTAAGCGAGGCATGCCAATGCCACAGCAGTAAGTAACTTCCGTAAAACCTATTCATTTACTACTTACGATACTAACAAACGAAGGATGTCCTTTGATAGAAGAACAGGTACTCCAGTCTTACGATTGTGTATACTGAGAACTGGAGGGAATGGCGAATCCTTGAATTTGGTTTTAATTGACTGGAGACACCTTTGGTGGACACTGACTGGGGTGCACATTTATTGGTACAACTAACCGAATGTGTGATGCAGAAAGACATTTGACATCCAAAAGTGAAAAAAGGTTGACATTTCATAAATGGAAGGGCGAATGGTGTACCATTCAACTGTCAGTGGCGTCAGTAGGGAATGCTTGACGAACTTTGCAAACCAGGAATTGAATGTTTTCAATTACCCTCAGCACTCGGTGCCATTTTGCATACTTACATCTTTGTGGCTGCCCATCAATTGTGAGTCGAATAGGCCACGGGAATAGCCTATTTCTAAGGATTTTTTGAAAAATTAACGTGATTTTGTGACAAACAAACTGCCAACGATACAGACGTTTGGACTGAATTGCTGTAAATGTGGATATACAGCTTTATCACTACGGCCAAAAAGAGGAAAGGCAATGACAACAAAGGAGGAGGGCTTACATCTTAGAAGATTAGATTTACATTAAAAATATGCAAAACTTAAATATCATATTAGTGCATTTTTATTAGTTTTCGCCTAGATACACTTCAAGATTAAAGTGATAAGCTAAAACTGGATAAACACTTCGGCTCTTTGAAACTGTGAGTCGAAGCTCTCACAATCTCGTTCCTTATAGCATCCAAGTTATCCAGTTATCATAAACACGAGGAAGGACCGGGCGCTTAGTACCACCAAGAGAGCTCTCTAACATCACCCTGAGGAGTGAATTGTAAGATTTCCGAAAGGCTTTTGTAGTCCGGGCCGACGTCATTCAGCACCATTAAGTTGTGCAAAAATGCACCAACCTTACTTACTGCTATTTTTAATTCAGAGAACTTCTAGAAAGTCTGAAAACTTGTAATTACCTTTGGAATATACTAATGGTATTATATGACTACGCACCGATAAAGTCGGGCATTAATTCACTTCTCTTTTTGACTAATGCACCCGCATTTCCTTTATTACTTTATTAATCTAATGGCATACGAGTCCAGCGAGTAGTTTTTCTTTCAATGCACCACCCATAGTAACGCCTAGCTCTTTCCTAAAGACGTCACAGGGCGTTACTGACATTCAGAAGGACTGAGAGACTGGTGATAGAACTCCAAGCCGTCAGATTGGGAACCAAATTATAGAGAACCAGGAACTATCGATGCATTCATATGTACAAATAAAACAGCACTCCTCTGCAGTACTATCCCCAGTGGTAGATGAACCCCGGTTATCCGTTTCCACACGTCCACCTCACACTTATTTAATGTGGCTAAAGTGGGTAATGCTCACGATACATTGATTGTAGCAACCGCGCAGGAGCATGGATCGAGGGGACGCGGAGGGACCTCCACAGTTTATTCAGCACCCTGTGCCCCAGGCAACGGTGAACGAGGGCGATAGCATTACCCTCAAGGCCATCGTTAAACCTGCCGGAGACCCCACGCTCGAGGTTCAGTGGCTCAAAAACGGCGTCGTCCTCTCCGCCTGTGAGTCCCTTACCACATCACTGTTCTATTTTGCCTTCTAAATGAATAATTCTCAAATAAAAAATCTGTGCCTATACAGCACACATTAAGGGTGATTGGTGGTGTATTTGAGGAGTGGAGGCAAGCAGAAACGAGAATGATTGCATGTGTGCACATTTAAAATATAGGGCTGCTCCCGGAAAATGTGAAACATCTCGGACTGGTCTGCGGAGCAGCTGCCGTTTTGGCAGCTCTCTATGCCTGTAAAATAAGGGAGCAGTATGGCTTCATTTTGCACGCGGCACAAGTTTTCGGACTCTGCAATTAATTTTACTAGGTAATCTTTTGGAAATAATTAATGGGCTAATATTAAAAAAAAACCACCTGAAACAAATTGTTTCATCACTTTCTGAAAAGTAAGAGCTTGCGGATTTTTAAAGACTGAAAGAGTAAAGGAATTCTCTTACAGAAGTAAATGAAAACTACTTTAATTTACTGGAAGGGAATATTCCGTCGAGCTAGGATTTTCGCGGTTTGTCGGCTAACAAAGAACCAGCAATTTGAAAATAAGCTACACCATCTTTCCATCTCGTCCACTAAAATTGCTAAATTGTAAAGATTTGCAAAGCATTACATTTGTATACGCCTTGAAAAGTTCCTTTGGAGAGTGAAATAAAGTTGTGTGGAGAATGTGCTGCTGAATAGATTAAGAGCACTCATGGAATTGTTTTTGAAAGGATTGCAGAAAGGCTCTTTCAGTCAAGAGTTTAGGTGATGGGCATAGTAGATAGTAAATAAGTAAATGAGCGCGGAATTAAACGCGTTTGCTGATATTACTCATTTCGATATCTTTTTAAGTAAATTAATATATTTCATTGGACTAGCATAGAGGCTCCAAAAGACCTTCAGACATCTTTTGACTCGCGTATATTTAAAAGCGAACTGATTAAAACAAAGGAGAACTTATCTTTAAATATTTACCCATATTTCGTGCATAAGAATACTTTGAGGTGGTGCTAATTACTCGTAGATGCAGTTTTCGTGTATTTTTAGCAATCACTTTCACTTCAAGGGCTGCCACCTCACCAGCCAGAAAGGGTTACATGATATGCTTTTTTTTCTCCCGCCTTCGACACGCAATGCAAAGTCAGGAAGCTCCTTGAATACTCCAAGTACAACTTCCAAGGCAATCACGTCCATCTCTTTATTTAAATTGAAGGTCTTGAGAGGGTTTTGATAGGGTGCCAACTCTTAAAATGGAGACAATTTAAGTCACCAGTACCAACGTTAAGCAACACGTACTGTACGGCAAAGTGGTAAGAGCGTTATGGTTGATGAATTCTATGGACAGATAAGGCAGTATTACAACACTTTTCAAATAACAGATGCTTCAATTTACTAAAATTAGTAAAGATTTATTGGGAATTGAGGGAGGTGCAAAAGAGGTCCATTGCTTACTTTTAATCTCGTTTATCAAAGCAGCCACACAATTTAATGGCCCATTTCGCCCTACTGCCACGTTGGATCTTTTGGCCAGCATGTGACCTAGTGGGAAAAACAGATTCTGTTGTTGTTCAGAAATGGACATAAAAATGCTTTTCAAAGCAGAAAACATCAGGAGGAGCTGTCAGTTTGGCAAGCAGAAACAATGCACAGCGAATAAGGTGGTGCGAGAGGCGACAAAGTCAACTGAACCTCGAGGGAAACACGCATCTTTAATGGATACCAAACTTTTGAGGCATGGATTTCACAGCGGTTGCAAATAAAAAAGGAATGTTTCTTTCAGGTTTTTAGATAAATGACTATCTTCCATCTTTTGCCTAGTCTATTTGATTTGTAACACATATATCAAACCAAACAGAGTGAATATTAATTTAGGACAGAGACACCCTTTTCAAGTAATAGCACTGAAGTTGCCTGTAAAGAACTTGGTAGGCGTCAGATCCTTGGAATGGTAGACTGACCAAAATGCTTTCGACACAAGCAGTTGAAACAGAGATTTCTGTCATCAGTGAAATTGCGAGGCAGTAAACATCTATAATTTAAGCAAAAGCTCAAACTAACTAACCGTTTAACTAGTCAACCGATGAAAGCATCCACTGACACTTAATGTGTGGTTTTCTGATCTCAGCATCACGTCATAATGCGGTTCTGGATCGTGGCTACGCGGAATTCCAATTCCTCTACACCAACACCACCGACTCTGGGGAGTACGTCTGCGTCGCCAAGACCGCCAACGGCTCTGCCCAATCAACCAGTTGCAGTCTCACGTAAGTCCCTCGCCACACCACCGCTTAGTTAATGGGCTTGTGAAACAGGTACAATATGGGTGCAAAAAATAGGTGTTATTTTTCCTCGGTTTGTAGATAGCCAACCTCCCAGGAATGCCTGGTCCCTAAAAACTTGTTAACCTCCGCAGCATTCCACCTTTTATTAGCCTCAATCGTTTAACTAAAATATGCTGGTGATTCTTCCTTAAAGCCCTAACTGGCAGCACAAGATCTTCAAATGGACAAGAATAGTAGCTAATGCCACCAGGGTACTGCTTGTACCCAAAGGCCAGTAGATGGTTCACTTCTTCGGATACAGTGTGCATAGAACATACCGTAAACTAGACAATCTTAGTGTTTGCTGTCAAAAGTAGGGATAATAATAAACTATGATAAAATAGTAAGGGTTTGTAGACTACCCTGGTTTCTGCATTTTGAAGGTGGCTTAAATGCACAAATTTACATTACGAATCAAACTGTTAGGCATTGACGAGTAAGCCAAATTCTAGTTCATTGTAGGAAACAATTTAAGGCTCTGCTCTTCAAAATCTTTTTTTTCATTAAAGTGGCGGTCGTAGAGTTTATTCTGATATCTCAAACCAATGCTATAGTCCTCTTCCTTTATTTTCACACGTTAAAGGGAATTAAGAGAAACTGGGATAGTATGAGAACCGAAGGGTAGTCATATCCCAAGATATGGGCGGCATGCAAAAAAGACATGCAACCATGAATTTATTAATTAAAATAATTATTTTCCCCACATTTAAGCCATGTAGCGGAGTGAATGCCTAATTTAATAAGTAGTAATGAATAGGACCTTCGCCTAATGCCCATCGCATTCCCATTGGTTAAATATAATAGCCCTGACACGAAAATCGAGGGTGTTACTTCTAATTCCCTCATCGCGTGTAGGATTGTGCCAGAGGACAGTGTGGTGACAGACTCGCAGCTGCCCGATGAGTCGATGATCATGAATCTAGCGGCCGTGGAGAACCAATTAGCCATGAACGGGACGCCCAGGCGTGAGGAGGAGGTAAAGTTCACCTCGCCCCCTCAATTCCTTCGCCCACTACTACCGCAAATTGGCCTGAAGGAGAATGAACGCGCCAAGTTTGAGACTTTCGTTCAGCCCGCCAACGATCCCAGTCTCATTGTTGACTGGTTCAAGGATGGAGAACCTCTCAAAACTGGTATGACTCAGTTAGCATTATTCTTTGTCAGTTGTTTTTAGTCGACAACATTTGAGTTATTCCTGAGGACGTTACAAAGGATAACATGGTGACTGAGAGACAAGAAGTATAGATGGCCTGAAAAAGCAGACTGGATCAGTCACAGTTGATGGAATTCCTTTGCCGAAATCAGTCGATAAATTTACTTTCCAGCTAAATCCACTATTCTTAACAGCATTTAAAAGTTTCTTTTATAAATTATATATCATATTATTCTGTAACAGTTCCACTTCCTTTTATTTTGTTATAAATTTCCTAAGACGTGATGTGCATTGGAACAGCTTTTAATGGTGATCATGCAACTTGATCACTGGTTTTGAACAACAGATCTGCATCCGCATCAAAGTTCCTGTTCTAAGAAGTTGGGCCTTCTTAAAATCCTTCTGAACTGGGGTTCATTCGTTACAAAAGAGGAGGGTGAAAGACGCTCTGACAGGCGAATCACCTACTTCGACTTTAACCAATCGCTGAATTCCTTTTGATTTTGTCACTTGACCGCGAAACAGAGTCGGATTTTACGATCATTTTGTAAAAGGTATAGTGTGCCCAAATTATAGATAAAATGCTTGGCCTTACACCTTTGACGTGACACCTCTCACTTTGCTGTTTGTCACCTTTTTGTCGACTGTGAAGTCATAAGTCTCCGTTCAATAACCAAAAAATTGATGACACTCTAACTTCTCGGAATTCCCAGTAGATATAACGCTTTGAAGATACCGTAAGGATTTGAACGGCAGTGCCCCACCAGAATCAGGATGCTTTTTGAGAGATTAAATATTTTTTGAGGCAAACAAATGAATCATAAAAAGTTTGTCTGTCGCCTGTCCTAACTAGCATTTCAGACATGAACGAAACTGAGTGAAGGCTGTATTTGCAAGCGAACTTGTAAGAGGACGAGGATTTGAGAAGGATGAGTTCTCATACCCTGCACGAAACGTGCTGTACTTTGTAGTTCTAGTTCTCCCACAAAAGACAGGCTATTGCAACCACAATTGCTAGTCTTCTTGGCCCGACGATAAAAGCCAAAGCACGCTGAAACCACTTTTTCAAGCATGTTACGTTAGAGACCTAATTTTAGATTGGTGGCATATGCTTTGATCAAGGGAGGCCAATTCCTACTTTTTATTCACGCCGTTGGTTGGATTATAGCTGTGTAATACACACAAATAAAAACTCTCCAGTGGGCGCATTCCCAATTGCTAATATCTATTCAGGAACTAATGAACCCATAGAATTATTCAGGTCACAGCTCAAGATTAGATTGTAGTTCATAAAGATGCAGATGTACTACATTAAAACCTCGACAATAGTTGCACGCGACCCCAATCCGACCATCCTTTGATCCGATCATATACCTTCTACGCCATACAATCTCTGCATAGCTTGATTTCTGGAGCTACATGGGATTGCGTTTATGACGCACCTGGTGAGGAGCTGAACTGCTCAACCTCTTCCATGTTTGCGTTCAGTGAGACTCCTTCCACGAAGTAGGTAATCATGATATCGTGTTTTAGGTTGTCGGTTTACCGAGACAATGGATCGCGGCTACGTGATTTTGGACATTCACTACACCTATCCCGAAGACAGTGGACAGTATCATTGTGTAGCAAAGAACAATGCTGGCTCGACGCCTAGCAACGTTGTTGAATTGAAGTAAGATTACTTCTGTTATTTAAAGCCAAATAACCTGTTACTTTATGTTCTCCAAACAAATCTCAGGAATGGAAGAGGGCACAACAAAAGTAGTGCCAGGTTCTGCTTACTCTTTCAAAGAAAGTAACAAATTTTTCTCTATTTAGCTGTAAGGGTGGCATCGGCATCGTGACGGACTCAGTTCTCTCGGCTGAATCTGTACACTACCTTCAAAGCCTCGACGCTCTCGAGATTTCAACATCGTGAGTTGGGAAAAGGATCCCAGTAGATAGCCCTTTCCTATCATAACTAATACAGATTTCAGCGAATCTTGATTCAACCATGGAAGCTTTTTTAAATAAAAGGGGGGAAAAGTAGAATACATTTTAAATAAAAGATTCCATCCATAAGTAATTTGCGAAGATGTTTACAATACTTAATACTCGGTGGAAATAGTCAAGGCGTCATCAAAAACTACTGTCTGTTTTGCATTTTTGGGTCACCGATTCATAAAGTAAAACACGGATTTGGTAGTATTTTAGTAGGCAATTGCAAAAGAGTCTTAGGTTGGGGAGAATAAGCAGAAACTGACACCTTTTCGTACGTGCATGGGTAATATTTCAGCCATACAATTACGAATTTGAGACTAGTTTTAGTCTTGATAGCTTATAAGTTGACTATTCTTCCACATTTTGCCTGCCCAGATCCGTTCTTTGTTTGATTAAGTGGGTTATTTTTAAGATCTTCTCACCCAAAATGGTCATATATTAAAAAATTATTAGCTTTACCATCAGGAGCCACGAAGCCTTTCGCAGTTGAGATTTCAAAAAACACCGGTATGAAGATGAAGTAGTTTTAAAGGGTGCAGGACACAATAAGTGCTAAAATAAACCTGAACCATCTTTTTTGCAAACTACATGTGCCGGAGATAGCTACTGCTGAAGCAATAAAACTGTCCTTAAAAGGCAAATGGTGAGTCATCCAAGTCAAGCGAGGTTATGACATCCCCTACTCGTGCGTCGACGACCTCTACCCTGCGTCACCCCCTCATTTGTCACAGTGATCGCATGATTACATTGCTGTTGCCCTGTCGTAAGTATACACACATCACAGGCAGTGGGGTCAGTTAGCTAAGCGTTCTAGCCTTTCCCAACGTCTGATGATGTGGCCGTAAATGTCAATGGAGCATCGGTTGACTACAGCTAGTCAGTTCTTTACGGCGGTTAGGAACGCTTCATTTTCAATCCTGAAATTTGTTTTTATGGCATTCCTATGAAACCGCATCACTCAGATGAATGACTACCACAACCGTTTACTAACCCTATACCTAGAAATTTAATTCTATTGGTTTCCAATCAGTTCCACTTAGTTATCCATCGTGACCATGGATATAGCGCTATTTTATTTCATATACTTGGTGGCCAAATGAAATAGCATCCTTAAAACTAAAGTGCGTAATGATTAATTTACACTAAGGCGATCAGTTTATATTGAAAATGTTTTATTTACTGGACAGATAGCAAGGTACATGATCCTCTTATGAAGAGCCTTCCGCATTGTGGGAACTGCCCATCTTGGACCACTTCGTTAAATCACTAAAAAATGGGCAGATTCAGTACTAATTCCTGCCACAAATCCACCTGCTTTTGTCGCCTTGAATGAACTAATTATCAACCTCAACAGTCCAACAGGAACTGTTTTATGTGCAAATACTTTAAAGTTTTCACCAAAAAGGATCTTTGCGCGCGTTGAATTTAAACGAGGTGGGCAAAGAACCCCAAAAAGTGAAAAAGGCAATGCCCTTTAAAGTATCAATTTAAAAAGATACATGAGGGAAGGGAAGAATTCATTGATCCCAATCCTGCTTTTACTTGAGGTTTACGCAGAGGGAAAGGAAAACGTGTAATAGTAGTTTCGTAGAAATGGTCACGTGTTTAGCATTCACACAGAATTGCATGAAATTTGCGTACATTTGTTCTCACATCTACCCAAACAATTCTTAGCCTTAAAATCCACAGAATTTTAATAAAATTTTGAGAAGTGGATCTTTAGATTTATCCACACTAGACTGGCTCATCTTTGACACCAATCAGTATCATTATTCAGGACAGCAATTAGGTTCTCCCTTTGCTACCATCAAAGCACAAGGCGAAAAGTCACAGGGTTACTAAAAATTTCTAATGTGCAGTGGCTAATCAGGGCGACACTCATTTACTATGCCTCGACTGGTTAAATTTTGCGCAGCTGAGACGACAGAGGTGGACAAGGCGGTTTTAAAAGAGCCACTTTATACTTTTTTGTTTTTACAATGTGGTGGGATGATCACAATCAAAGCACTGAGGTAGTTATGGCGCGCCCATAAACATTTCCAGTCAAAATGCAATTTAAATTAGTTTTGCTTGGAGAAGTCGGATATCTCGTACGCAGCCTATTTTATCAACTCATGGAGTCTCCTACCCAGTTTGAAACATTGCTCTAATTGTAGGTATTTAAGTGAATGAACATCACAAATTAGCTTAGTTGCTCCATTATCTTTAAAAGTAGTTTAAACTAACTGATCAGATTAGTTAGGTCATAATGATGAAGCGTTGGAAACTTCTCACCCTAATGTTGCGCTCAGTGACCAATCAGCGAGGCGGCTCTGCCGATTGTGCATTGTAGGCAAGACCAACGCTACACAGAGGCCGAGCAGCACCCAGAACCGCCGAGCTTTGAATTGGAGCCAAAGAACACTACTGCCATCGAGGGCTCTCCAGTGCGTCTCCTCGTCAAGGCTGGTGGGTACCCACATCCTCGTGTCCAGTGGCTCATCAATGGCGACGTACTGCCCACTGTAAGCCTGCCTACACTCGTTTTATACGAACTGTTAACGGCTTTTCTCAGTTAATAAACACTAGTCTGAATTCACTATTTTGGAGGTTAGTCACTCGAGGGATTTGCCAGTGAAATAAGTTCGATCTCATTCCGTGGCTTCACTCGTCGTTCTTTTGGATAGGAAAATGCTTTTGTGTTGTGGAGCATTTCCCACCAACCTTTTCTTAAGTCCACGCAACTTACCTCTTCTTTTTGTTTTTTATCGGATAGGGCATTTGTGACACTGCGTTTTTTATTCCTCGTTTCGGCGTTTGGAATAAGCGATGGAGGGAACACCGCTTGCAGCTTCTATAGGTTTGAGATTGATACAAAAAGAAAACCTCCTAAATTTTTTTGCATCTAAAAGGAGATATGAGAGTAAAGTTTTTTATTTTTGTGCTTTGACAATACTGGACCGACTTTTCCTCTATGGCAAAAAAAGAAGCTAATTTCATGAGTTCCGATGGGCCTGTTTGCAAATATTTCTTTAGGCTAACTCCGGTGTTCCGCTAACATCAGCAAGTGTTTTTATGAAAAAATTTTCCATCCACCACCGATGGGAATGTTGATAAATTGTTCAATATCCTCCCGTAAGTAATCTCACCTTTTTATCTCACGAACTTTGTGGACAAAAAATGTCCCTCTAAGGAGCAGGAATCCGTCAAACGGGTACACCTGATAATGCCTTTTCTCGGTAGATAATTTCCCTCGGTCCATGTGTGGAAAAGTCATGTGGAAGGTGTACCTGACCCATTAAAAAGGGAGGATCGACTTCAAACCCATAAATCCAACAATAACTAATGCCGAAAACAGTTTCTTCTCAAAAGATTTTCACTTAAAGATAAAAAGTGTGCCACTGGAAGTGCTTAGTAAGTGATGGATACAAGAGGTAGACTGAAAAAGTTTTTATTCATTTTAATCTTATGATAGGAAGTGACGAAATTAATTCCACTATTTTGAATTTCCCGCCAACATAGGACTTTTGAAATGACGAGTTCGGATGCAGATTTAGTTACTAATGGCTGTGTCCACAATTTGACAAGATTTGGATGTAATCCCCCATTTACAACCAAAGCAGGTCAAGTTGACACTTACCAGCTCATTTCTCATTCTGACTGCTAACGACAAGCCCAACGGGTTTTTTGTGTAAACATTCATGCAATGGAAGCATTGTTTCCTCACACAGGGGAAACAGCTCTAAGAGCAGAAAAGTAGGTTGATATAGAATGGCCGTGAGAAGGAAGTGGGGTGCAGTTGATTACACACAGCACCTTCGGTTATCTTTGATCGTGGCGTTCCATAAATGGAATAGAGTGGGTGAGGCAATTAAAGCAAAAACAAAGCATCTTTTTTGGTGTTTTTGTGCGCTGATTCATGCAGACAGTTGCATCAAAATCGTCGTTTGGTAACGCCTTAATCTAACATGTTTGCCACTTGAGCTAATTGTCTGATCCATTGTTGGTCATACAGACCCATTCACTAAGCATGAATGATTTCTTATGAAGTTCCCACACTGTTAAAATAAAATATCTTGTTCGTGACTCCGCCTCCAGATGCTAATAAATAATAGCACCGAAACCGTTGCTAAACATAACACATTTGCGCAGTTTGCAATATCTGTGAGAGGCTTGCATCTGATGAATAGTTGCTGAAATCAAATACCATTTCCAGTATAATTTAAAATCACTGCCAGGGGTTAGAACAATGTTTTTTAGTGCCATTTTGATAGACTTGATCAACGCCTCTTCCACGAGAGACGCAGAGGCAAAAAGTCAGCTCACATGTTCTGTTGTTCCTTCATCAGACTAACAGCACCATAGCCTGTCGGTTGATTTTAAACTCAACTGATTTTTTGTGCACGGTTTATTGTAACGATTTATCACAAACGCCCCATGTCTGGAACGCCACACTCATGTGATGCTGGAGGCGCGTATACTAATCTCTGAACTAAGAGAAATTCTCTTTGCTCCACCATACTTCTTTGCGTTGACAGAGCGGTGGTGGTGGCGCATGGCGCATCTACAATGACGGTGGCATCAGCTGCCTGGAGTTTAATCGTTGCGGACCGCCTGGAGAGTACACAGTGACTGCAGTGGCGAAGAACAACTTGGGCGAGGCCGCATCCGAGTGCTCTCTCGTCATCGATCCACAACCCGACTACCGACCCGACCTCAAACACGTCGCGCCTGGTCAGTCACCTCCCCTTTCCACCCAAAATGGATACTTTTCTCCTGTCAAACTAGCCCGAGTCATCCCACAAAGTGAAGGAAACGTAGAGTACCTTTCACTGTTAACTTATGGAAGGGCTGGGAGACTAGTAGTGTTAGGGATGGTAGAGAGAGCACTCTGTCCAATTCGAGGGCTCCTTGTGGTGGTGAAACGATTTTATGCCACAACACGAGTGTAGCCAGCCTACCTGTAATTGAAAATCTTTGAGATTTCGACGGACTCATCTCCTAAACCGTCTCGGTAAAATGCATTTGTTGAAGTTCATTTTCTTAGTATTGGTCATGACTGGGCATCATAAAGTGGCTCCTCGGCGCCACACTCTGCTGTCATTTCTCCTCTTCGCCTCTCTATCACTTTACCGTTACTAAACTGAAGTCGTCTTAGGCTTCTTTCTACCCCAGGGGACATCCAAACTTCTGCTAGTACCAATGATTCGGCAAAGAAAGAGGCCTTGAAGGTAAAAACTAGAAAAGGGGGAGCTTCATAATTCATTCATTAAATAGAATTACTTAAATTTTGATAATAAAAATTTATCAAAACGTGGTGAAGCCACTTCCTCAGTTTTGAATAATTGTTGCCTCTCCTCCTTTTTCCACTCAGAAAATCCATTCAGACGCATGGCGAACCTTAAACGCGTGGAACGCAGTGAGGAGTTGAGGAATGCCTTCGAGAAAACCAAACCGAAGGTTCTTGAACTGCGCAAACTAGAACGACGTGAGTTCACCTGGGCTTCCTGATTTGAGGCCTTAATCAGACTGCCTTTTCGTCGAAATCTTCCCCAAAGGGAAGACTCTTCGTGAAAGCATGATTGATTTAATAAAATCCAGGGCACATACCAGAGAGGATAAAGTTTCCGGAATTAAAGGGAGAAATTGAGTTGTTATTTGTTTCGGTAAAGGGCTGCAATTATGACTATTGAGTAGTTGGAAAAATGTCTTGTAAAAGCTGTAACAGGTAGTACAATTATTGTCATGTTTTGCAAAGCGTACACTTGAATTTCAAGACAATTTTAAATGGAAAAGCAATGCGCACTTAAGGACATCTTTTGATCTCCTCTAAAGAAAAGGTAAATAGCGTCTGCAGCATTTGGTTAGCTCCCGCAATGACGGGTTGCATGAATGATGATTGTGGTGATTTCCTCGTAAAGGTCTCTAAATCTCCTCTGTGTAGTAGAAGATCAAATACTGTTTGACAGATGGTAGTAGTAAATTATGCGGCACCGTTTTTATCTCCTTTATAAGGAAATAGCCAAACGGAGGGCCTGAACGACACGGAACTGATGTACACTCAGGTGCAAGCATCGCTGCGCTCGAACCGTCGCTCGCTCCAAGGCGACCCGATGCGAGCTAGCCAGCCGGCCTCGGCTCCAGCCCCGGTACCGCCACGGCCACAGCCACAGGTGCAATATCAGCAACAGGCACCGACACCGAAACCACGACCACCACCGCAGCCGCAGCAGCCACCAATGCAACCACTACAGCAGACTATGGTTCAGGTAGGTAATATTACTGCTACTTTCGTGGTACTCCAAATAGACCAAATTAAGGATCGGACAGGGCTTGGTAAGTAGGAGTGCTCAATAAGTTAATGGATTGCGGTAGAGTTTCGATTTGTTCCTCTGATAATAAAAGCTATTTAGACGACGTGGAAAGCAGCGATTAAGAAGAACCCCATCGGCTACAGGAAAAGATACGGTCACAACCACTACAAATACAAATGCAACACGAGACAGTAGTTCAGTCGCAAGTACAAGAAATCCAATTGATGTTGCAACACCTGGTACAAAAGAACCTAATATCGCAGAAGCTTCTCCCTATTTGCGCATTTCTCTCGGCCTCCCCTACTCCCTGCTTTTTATGTCAGAGGGTAATTTGGCCTTAGCTAGATTAAGGGGTCAATTAATTAAAGAGCCAAAAATAAGTATGGTAAAAGCCCATTCCAAGATTTAGCATTTAGGCGCACAAAAAATTCAGGCTGTTTAATAAATTCAGCTTTGCATACCATTAAGGAATCTTAGTTAATTTTCTTCGTAAAAATATTCTTAATATCAACTTGAATAACTGTTTCAATTCCGACTGAACTGAACCAGTTGTGCGTGCATGGTCTGGCATAAGCATGAAATCTTCTTGCTTCTACAAGGCACTCGAATTTTCTTTTTGCTAAAAGCAACCGCCAGCACCACAGACGCATGCACAAGCACCAACACCGCCACCGCCGCCGCAACAGCAACAAGCACCAGCGGCTCCTGAACCTGTGAAGCCGCAATACGGGCTCGGGGTAAGGCTTGTTGGATGATATGAAATTCATCTATACCCTCGGTACACAGGAAGTACGACTACTGAAATTGGTCTGCAGCCACTTCCTGAAGCATGCTTTCAGCTAAGCAAGTAAATGTAGTGAAGGAATCCACAAGAAATCCTGGATATCGATGATACCATAGCAATGATTTCATATAGAAGGAGATTCAAAGGCACAGTGGCCGAGAAACACAGATTTAATAGTCTTTTGTATCCCATAGAATGCGGAGGTCGTTCAGCCAAACGGGCAATACAGCGTGACGGAGACAAGCGCTGAATTCCAAATCGAATTGTGAGCGGAGAGGCCGATACTATAAAGTCAGGATCCATACCTGTTTAACACCTTGATTCTCTCAAAGCCCTTTCTAGTCAGTGCCCATCCATTAACCACCTCTTTCTTCATCTGCGTGAAACCCGCTGTTCAAGTAGACACTTCCTTCTTCCACTCCACCTCCTCCCCCGCTCTAGAAAGTGGACTTTTCGCCTACGCACATAAGGAACTTAGTTTTATTTCGCTTTGCCTGACGCCTACCGACTGTCATGCGACAGAAAAGAATGACGTTTCTTGCGAAAAAAGTAAATCATCTCTAGAAAGTGATGCGCTTACTCTCGACAAAAGACAACGACGCCACACCTCTGATCTCCACTTCTCTCTTCGATGCCTTATTTATTTATCCTACTCGCGATGCTGATAGAATAAATTATCTTTCAATGGCTTACGTGCTTGTGTTTTAATTTGCCCTGAATAATGCTTAATGACAAGTTTGCGTAATTACGTCAAAAAGATAAATGTAGTGTTTACTGAAAAACCATACCAAAACTTAGTGTTTCTGGGATACTACCAGGCCAGGACACAAAATATCATAATTGTAGATGGTACAAAAAATAGATTTTGGCCATTTTCAAGCAAATGAATAAGATTGAAATGCTCCATATTTGGAATGAAATGGATAAAAACTCAAAGGGTATTCAGAATCCAATGGTGAAATAAACGTACAAACACTAATTAACTCGATTTTGTGGTGATCCGAATGAATAAAACTAAAATAGCGTACAACCCCGAATGCCTATTTGGAGGTCTGAAGCCAGAAAATCTGGTGAAAACTAATATAGATACGGAAATCTATAGATTATTATGCCATAAAATGAAATAGTCATACGAACACTTTAGTTTGCGGTGGTCGTCAGAGTAGGAACCGAGGGCTCTACGTTCGTTTACACTAATTGCAACCAAAGGACCAGGAGGCATATCAAATTGGTTATTTGTAGTTCTAGTATTAAGGATAATGTGGTCTCACTACGTACAAAACAAAATGTAAGAATTTAGTTGTTAATTTAAGTCTAGGTCTTGATAACAGGTTACTTAGGGCACCACTATTGAAACACAGGCGGGTGATCCGCCCACCAAGGTATGCCGGTAGGCCTCACACGCTTCTCAAAGTTAGAAATGCATATTTTTCTCAATTTTTTTTTCGTCTTCAGTGTAATACGATAGTGATTTATCCCTCGGTTCTGGTGGGGCGCCACTTTTGACTTCGAATTAGCCCCCCT